TTCAAACTACAAACCTATCACATACTCTAATTAATAATGATAGATTATTGTTTAGTAGGTGATGTGGCCAAGCAAGTAGCCAAAGTAGAGTTTTCCCTGGACATTTTAAAGGAAAGTAACATAACTGATTAGCATTTTACTTTTTTTTGCAGACGGGTTGTAGTCGACGGTGTGTCGTTGCCTGAAGTGGTGAAGCAAGTTTGTTTTGACCTGTGAGAAAAGTTTTATTGTGTTTTTTGCACAGCACTGTGCTTTGTTAAAATTATTGAAGTAGCTCTTTTTATATGTACTACAATGTCACTGGATGCTCACACTTGTGTGTCAGTTCTTGCTGCAAAATATGCCTGAATTATTATATCTTGTTATACGTGCACTAGGGAGTGCAGGAGTTCAGGGTTGCTATGACAATGATAATGTATGATCAGACATGATCTTGCATTATTGTTTCATCAGTCTGAATTTCGTTCTCATTTAATCCTTTAGGTCAACGAGGTGAAGCCCTCCAGCATGGACAATCTGGGACCCTGCCTCACTTCCTGGAGGAGCCTGTCGATGCCTACATTGTCAAAAGTAATCCCATCAAGCTCCGGTGTCAAGCTCGGCCTGCGCTCCAGATCTTCTTCAAGTGCAATGGTGAATGGGTCCACCAGAGCCAGCACATGTCTCAAGAGCACACTGACCTCACAACAGGTACAGAAACTTTTTTTTTTTAACATACATAACTTTCTTGATACAATCATGCAGATGAATGTGTAGGATGTGTGTATAGCAATATTGTTTGGTGTATTAAAAGAGTTGTATACACACATGATGTGTAAATGTACACATAAAACTCAATTCCATCCTCCCTGTCAAACCGTATCTGGCATTTTACATTATGTGAATATCACTCATATTGCAGACAGCAAGCACTGAAAGTCTCAAGCAGGAACTTTGCTAATGGGGCTTTGTGACAATGCCTACGGCTACATCCAACCCTGTAAATGTATTTGCCTCACTTCTACAGACTACACTCTGTGTCACATTTGATCTGAGCAGAAATGACAACTGTTAGAGCATGAAACGCATCAACTTGTTCAATTTTGGGATTAGACTTTGAACTCTGAATGGTGTCTTTTACTGATGCAACTTACTGAAATCCAGTTGTTGTTTTAACTTCAAAATAAATCCATTCAGACCACAGAGGCATTTTTTCCTTCTTTTCTAATACTCTTGTCAGTTTTTGTTGCATCACCTCACGATGGGTATAAATATCTCATGATTGCACTTGTGTTTATACAGCGAATTTAGCTGTAAAACAAAAACTAAATTATACTTTCCTCTTTTCCTCATAATGTGCTTGTGTTGTAATTAACTTTTTACAAGCGTATCTTGCAAGCAGCTCCTGTTTTTATTTCAAAAACTGTTTTATTTGTGGTCTTGTATCTATTTGTTCACAATACACATAATCACCTGTACTCAAAAATTAAAACTGTGAAAAAAATGTATTAGTTGAATGATGGTTGGTGCTTTACTTAACACACAGTAGCATGCATTAACTCTCACTGCTAACAACGGACCTCTAAATCTTTACTGCCTCTAGTCTGGATTCATAGCTCTGCTCCCATCTGGCTTTTTATCACCACTCATATCCGTCTCCAGTGGGACAGTCATAAGGAAAGGGATGTACAGAAGGCAAAGGGTTTCCAGAGACAGAATAATATCTCCTCAAGTAAAATAGTTTTTTCTGACCTGGACTGTGTCAGGATGTTCTAAACGCTGGCTGCTGGAAGATGTATCGTAATAGTTTATTTGGAACTTTTGAGGAACTTTTGCAAAACAGAGGCAGAACACAGAAAAACTCAAGTTTTCCATGTGCATCTGTATTTAGATGAATTATTAAACTCACTCAGATTTTTTATGCTATTCTGAGGACTGTTTTCTGTCCTCCAACTGTTGTTATAGCACCAAAGATGTGGTGACAGTAAAGATAAGAAGCTCTTGCAAAGTAATTTAATAAAATATATGTACCTATATATAGAGAAACTGGTAGAAACCACCCCCATAAAGTGACAGCTTGATCCTCCTACAAGTAGGATTTATATTTTGTTTATTACAGTTACACTGCAGACTCTTTGAAACTCTTTGAAATCTGTTAAGCATAATGCATTTTTTTACTTGAACTTAATAAATTAAGTTTAAGTTTATTAAAGCGGTAGGATCACATGAATGTTATTAAAAAAGCCAAAACCCTATGCCAATCTGCTGTCTTTCTCAGCTCGGATGAGGTTTGTTTTATTATTATTATACTACACACAGCATGATCAAGAAACTGACCTGACAGCCCATTGTTCATCAGCGGTGCTAGTTTCAGTCATTGTGCAAAAGTACTGTTTATAAGGTTGGGGAAAGCTGCAGTCAGCTGAGACTGAAGAAGTCACTTGGATGAGTGACGAAAACATTTCTCCTACTGAAAACTGTCTTAAACTTTTGAGCTTAAGTTTCTGTCTCCTTGTTTGAGTCTACATTTGGGTCCTCCATTCCTGCCTGCACACAGCCGGACCATGCATCAAGACATACTACACACTGGCTTTTGAGTCTGGTCTTATTGTTACCAGTGTTGGGAAGGTTACTTTTAAAATGTATTTCATTACAGAATACAGAATACATGCCCCAAAATGTATTCTGTAACGTATTCCGTTAC